ATAATTTCTGGACTATTGTTATCATTTGTACATTTCAAAGGAATCAAGAGTTATAACACGAAGTAATCACCAGATAATTCAATATTTATTGGAAAATAATTGCGCTTTTCTACCACCGCGTCCCGGGTTAAAGAATGCGCGCAGCTTCGTGCGAAATTCACGGGGTCACGGGTGGTTTACTCGGAAATCGCTCAACGTCGTCCCACGACCGGTAATTTATGGGGTTCCGAAGTCTTCCCGTTGCAGAAGTATGTATATGTATACCACGGGCGCGTGCAACCGACAGGAAGTTTTCCTTTCGCACGCGATCTTCCTCGAGCAACAAACATGGCCGTCACGGAAAACCGAAATCCGAACGAAACCGTAACGGAACCCACGGTACCGGCACCTCTTTTATCATACATCTTCCAGTCGCGAAAAAAAGACGACGTTTCATAACACCGAGCAACGAAACTTTTCAACGGATGAAAAAATTCGAATTCGAGTGATCGAAGCTACGCTGTGTCCGAAATTCAAAATATCGATCGGGGTCGTCGAAACATGTTCACAGAGCGAGTCACGCTTCGAGATACGATACACGGTTGATCGTTGGTCATCGACTTTGTCAAGGTCGCGGCGATTCGAATGCCGACGAAAAAAATTCGTCCGTTGGAGATTCGAGGCCGTGTGTGTGTGTAACCGTCACGCTTGTGCATCGCTAATGTCGCCGGGGAATTTTTCGAATACCTGGGCTCTCGGTCGTGGGACTGCTTTCCGTTTCATTAAAATACCGTGGATAATTTTTACCGAAGATTCAGTAAAACTGTTGATATTTTGTGTATCCGTATATATCTATTGGGTTTCGAGTTGTCTACGTTAAATACAGGTTTCGTGGTTGGTTTCTATGCGGAGAGAGATTTCTTGTGTTCGCCTAGATTAGAGAAATTCCAAGTGACACTACGTATATAGCGCGCGGACCACATCATCGTGTCTCTCGTCCTCGAGAATAAGTGGAACGTACGCGAAGATCGTGTCCGTTATTTCGCCGTGACGTCACGACGCGACTTGTAACCGCTGTGTAACAGCGAACCGAAGAGCCAACTTGTATGTGTGATGTCAGCCTCGCGGCTGGTTGGTATATTCTAATTCGGTGGTCCTACGCCAGCTTCCCATCGCAAAGAGACGACACCGTGGCAGTAGAACACTCGGGGAGGCCATTCATTGATGATTCTGAAGCTCAGTTGTGCCTTCGAAAACACTGTTTACCGCAATCTGACAAAAATCGTTTTCCAAATTCGTCAGGTTCTGAAACAGCGCCACCTATAAAATCCAAGTGCAGACTGGATTTGATACACCGTTATCATTTCTGCAATTAATTCCCCAAATTTATTCCTAAAATCCACAGGCTAATTATCATACCGTATTGGCCTAAGAATTATTTCTTGCGATCCTTCCGACTTAGGATTGAGAAATTGTGAAATGTAGGATTTCGTGACTGTACTTGTCACACGATAAATGATGATTTTGCATGGATCCGTAAAAACCAAGAAACTATTGCACTGATCTTTTGATCTCTCGCCGACGTCGTCGATCCGTCGAACTTTCGAACCTTATGTAACGATGCCTTCGGTAATATGATTTTCCGTTGCTTGTACTGCTGTTCTACACAGACGAAAGATCGGGCGCGCTCGCGTACGAGAGAGGGAGAAAGGCAAGGCTCTCGTTTTGACAGTAATACGGAACTTGCACAAGGCGGGATCGTTGCCCCGACCGCTGCTTAATTGGACTCTCTTTGTTTTAATTAATTCGTGGCATCCGCGGTTCGTCCAATTGTTCTGGCGCCCGTTTGAACTCTACAACACTTGCTACAACACGAATTTATGGACACGCATAACGGAATCGTTATGGCGCTCATTAAACGTGACTCTCGTCGCGTGTAGGCTCATTGTTGGAATTACAAGAAGGTTGTTTAGCAGTTTGCTTCTGCGTTTACTCAGAGAACGAATATATACATACTTAAGGTATTGTTAAGAAACAATACCAGTATCAATTTTAATGTACATACTAGAACGGATTTAAACGTTTCCCACAAAAGAGAAATTTTTCCTCTTGCATAGAAAACAAAATCATTAAGTATAAAACGTCGTTACGGACATGGTGGTTTCGATAAACAGTACGAAATAACTTTGAGATGACCTTGAGGAATAATCACATTTTTCCTGTTTCATTTGCAAGAGACACATTCTTTTTTATCGACTGTTTACGAGATTTGCATCGAGTTCCAATGTATGCAATCGAATTCCATTTTAGAGGAAAATATATTCATTGAAAAGGGGAGGCTACCTTAGTGTATCGGGAGGGACGAACGGGATCCAAGATCCACGGGGGACCAGTGCAAGTGTATTTTTTATCCAGCGACGCGCGCTCGCGGTGGTCTTATTGCTCGTCGTTTTTCCATCCTCGCAATCTCGAAACTGAAGAGGTAGGTCTGTCTCTTCCATTCCCGGCGGTGTTTATATCTCGCCGGGCAGGCGGCTGGTTGCGTTAGGTTCCTCGACCTTGCCGGTCGTGCAGGTTTTAGCTCGCATGGCACCTCCAGACGCGCGTCCCCGCGTGTATACCGGGTGGTACCTGTGTGGAAATACCTGACAAGAAAGCGGACACTCGTCTGGACGCCTTGGTGGCCGTCTGTGGTTTATAGCTCCTCGTTTGTCATCCTTAGACTGCGGACTTTTATGCAAAATCACATTTTAGAAGGTTCTTCATAAGGACAAAAACAAAAGTAGGAAGTTCTTTCTTTCCTTAAGTATCTTATTGGATTCGTAAGAAAATAGAACATCCGTTGCATCTGACGAAACTTTTCTCCTTCATTGTTTTTCACAGACACCTATACATGCATAAAATCCACAGTCTAGTCATCCTTCTAGTCTGGATCCATCGCGCACTAAGATTTGTTTCGGGAATAAGACATTAATAAATCATTTTTTAATACATTTTGTATCATTAACACGTACACCGTGGAACCTATTTCGACTTCTCTTCCGTGTTTGCGCCGACAGTATTATGCTACAGTTGAACTTCCATTATATTTGTCGGTCACTGGTGTCTGACGCGCCGGTGAATGTGTCAAAGATCTCTTTGGATAAGTGTGACGATATTACACTGCATTCTCAACCTCCTTTCACACATAATGGTCCCACTAACTGATGCTTTAATCCTGAGTCTGTGCCGATCCTCACACTTGTTTGTACAAGTGCCATAAACTGACTGCTTAAAGGAAGCATCACAACTTTAGGAGGTTAAAGGACCCCTGTTAAAATAGACCCAGGTGTTAGTAATTATTGCCATCGTGTAATACAGGAAATGTACGAAAATATCTTTGTACTCCAACCTCACAAAACTATTATTCGAAAGGGCTCGAATGGGCCTCCTTACCGTTTGACAAATTTATTTAAAACACTGAAATAAATGTTAAACCGAATGTTGAATTGCCATAAATTTCAGTAATTCCATAACCAAGTGGTAGGAGGTCTTTTCCTTACATCACTTTTTCCCCGAGTTTGCTCGTCAGTGTATGTATTTTATTTAAAGAACCAGAGCGCCATCACTCATGGGAAGTATTAATGGAGACAAATAATGATTTCCGAGCACGTAGCTTACCCGCGTCGTCAAATGTATTCCCGTTTTCGCCTCCCGCATGGTTTCTCGGTACGGGGCGGGCGCACCTCCTGCACATCAGGGTTATTATTGAACCTCGCTATTTCCGAAAACCGTCACGACTCGCCGCACCGTGGCGCGTTCTTCCTGGAACCAGCAACGGGCAGAGGCTTGAAAATTCTAAAAGGATCGGAATGCCGTCTCCAACATCGCGCACACATACCATCAAGGCTCCCCATTCCCAGGGAAAGTCCATCATCGGATGGATTTAGATTTATTGAAGGCCCGTCACGCCCTAGAGCCGTTTATTTTCTTACTTCTGCTATCAGTCGGTCTTATTGCGACAATATTGACCGACGGTTTCACGATCGCAACGGCAGGACGACACTGGAATCCACTTCCGTGCCACCTAGAATGGTAACGTTGTACTTAATGCGCAATTATAGGACACTGAATTATCGAGCCCCCTCTCCAGGGATAAAGTTCATTGGGTCTAGTTCAAGCGAATCGAACTTTCTCCGGAAGCGTGTGTGCTACACACACGGAAGGAGAATATGTATGCAGTTCGGGAACAATGTAACCGATTACCTAATCCGTTCATTACAATGAGGCTTCTCTCCTGCGATCCATTGCGGCATAAGAATAGGGTATTTAAATTGAATGGCACGTAAAATCTATTAATACACGTATTCCCATAGCTCGTGTACGGAAATAGGAGACCGAAAGTTGACGTATAGGTTCCGAAAATCTTTTCGAAGTGTAGTATATTTTTGAAGTATTACTGGTACCCACTAGTATACACATTTAGAAAAGGGTCTCGGTTATGAATTCGATCGTCCATGTGAGAGCAAGTTTTATTTTTACACGTGAAATCTACCTATTCGAGCATAGAAACCCAGTGCTGGACGCACATCGAAGAGACAATTAATTACCATATTTTACGGCGCCTTGGAACGCCGAACGAGTTGTTTATGGGACGTATGTCTAGAGGTATGTCGCGAGCGCATAGCTGACTGGTAACGACTTACCTGTTACCCAATTAATCGCTGCCCACGTTCGAAAAGATCCAGTTCCAGCCACAAGGGGACAACGAATCGTTTTGTGCTCGAGGACAATCGTGTGTCCCTCGACTCGTTGCCCCGCGAAAATTTTCTCGATTCTCACTGGTTGGTAACCGACGATCCCGTCACGGTTTTCCATTCACAGCCGAGCACATACCGGTGCACGGCATAAATTATTGATAGACCGTTTCTCCCCACTCCCCTTTCTTCGTGGATCGCGATAAACGGCCGTTCCTCGATCTTTTCGTCTGGTAGGAGAAGAGAACTTCACTCGATAACGATCTCTCGTCGCCTTTGTTCCAGAATTTCCAGGACCTGGAAGCTGAAAAGGCAATAATGGGCTCCATTGTGTACTGCATCCATCACAAGGACGGGTGCAAGTGGTCGGACGAACTTAGAAAGTTGAAGGTGAGCCTCTCGCAATTCCAACTTCACTGTGTATCATTTTCCCTCGTCAGGAATTATAATCAAGTAATTAATTGAGTAATTAAACGCAATTCCCGGGACGACTAAAAGAATGGTTCGAATAGTCGTACTTAGAGTATTCAGGGAAAGTAATATTTTCAACGGTAATAGAGTTGGATTGTGAATTTTGTGCATTTATTCAAGGGGGTCCAACGAACCCCATGAATATTTTATTTTCATTCAATAATTACTCAAAGAGATACTTGTTTATTTAAGAACACGAAAAACAGATAGTTCCGTAATAAATAATAGAATTTCCAGCCTACCAATTGAGGGTTAATGAAGATAAATTTCATGTCTCGTTTCAATGTTACCAAAGTTCTCCAGAAAAATATATATTAACGTGAACAATTTTGTGGTTAAGAGGACTCTAGGACCTTTCAAGGTCGACTGCTCTTCACGAATGTAGATTATTGCTTTGAACTTCGTGAAATCTCTCGAGGCAAGTCCGATCGAACAATTGGTAAAAATTGCATTGTTCTGCCTTAGGCTCACCTGAATACCTGCAAGCACGATGCGGTGCCGTGCAGCAACAAGTGCGGCGCAATGATCCCGCGCGTACTCATGGAGGACCATTTGAAGTACACTTGCGCCCAGCGACGAGCACGCTGCGACTTCTGTGCCAAAGAATTCACCGGTCACACGCTCGAGGTAACTGCTCCCGCATTAATTAGAGAACCGCGATCGAGTGCCAGCTGTTAACTGTACTACCACGAGGGAGACACGAGAAGGAGAAGAGCAGCCACGGAGAGGAAATTTCTCGACTTTTTTTTCCACGTGCTTTCCGTTGTTATAACCGTATTTGCATATTTTTCTAAACGATTACTACGAACCATAAAGCCTCTGATGGCTTACGTAGTCCTTGACCTTGTTCTTGTATTAATATCTCGAGATATCTTCAAGTAAAAGTAGTCAATGATGATTTGAAGTACGAGTCAGTTAGAGTCGAGAAGTTGTCCATACCTGAGTGTTAAATGGAATTTTGAATTCGAAAGTTTCTTTGGGAAGTCGCTTTTGAAGATGTCCTGAAGGCAATCTCAATATTGTCAGTGGCGTCTAAGTGACTTCCACGTTATCAGCTGTTTAGAGGCTCCATAATTTTCTCAGATAAAACCGTTCGGCCGATTTTTATTTTTATAATACGTAGTATACAGAGATAAATTTTTTTATTTTGTGTTGTATAATGTTTCCGTTTCTGTTCTTGTAGAAACACACGGGCACATGTGGCTACGAGCCCCTCTATTGTGAGAACAAATGTGGCATGAAGGTGCAAAGAAGGCATCTCAGCCAGCACAAGTTGGGCGAGTGCGCGAAAAGATTGGTGGCGTGTCGTTATTGCAACAAAGAGTTCGTTTTTGACACGCTGGGCGCCCATCACGCCAAGTGCGGCCGTTTCCCAGTCGCCTGTCCTCATCGGTGTGAGACTGCGGTGCTACCAAGGGAGGATCTGGAAGTTCACTTGAAAGACCATTGCACCACGCATCTTTTGTCCTGTACTTTTAAGGATGCTGGTTGTCGTTTTAAGGTGCGTCGATTAAACATTTTTACCCGTCGGTTCGTTCTTCATTTCGAGCTTCGCAATAACAAAATCGTTATTCCTTGTCACAGGGGAACAGGTTCTCGTTGGACAAACACCTGGAGGAATCAGCAAAGATGCACCTGAGCCTTATGTGCAGTGTAGTGACAAAACAACAGCATCAAATAACCAGCCTCAAGTCGGCTATCAGCAAATTGTCGTTAAATTATACGGGCACGCTGATATGGAAGATCACAGACTACAGTGCTAAAATGTCCGAGGCAAAAGCAAAGGAAGGCATGGAATTAGTCAGCCCTCCTTTCTACACTAGTCAATATGGTTACAAGCTACAAGTACGTAGAAATGACCAATTAATGTGTACACTGCTTGTTGAAAATGTGGGACCTCATCTCTTTCATAATTATGAAACCTGGTCCTGTATTTTTTTCTGGCGGTGTAAATGTACAAAAGCTAATCTACATTGTACAGCTTTATTAACAATAGTGTTCAACATTTATAGGCATCAGTTTTCTTAAACGGAAACGGAACCGGCGAAGGAAGTCACATCTCCATATACATAAAGATTCTTCCCGGAGAGTACGATGCTCTGTTGCGATGGCCATTCTCTCACAGTGTGTCTTTCACCATATTCGACCAGACGGTGGTCGCGGAGAAGGCGTGCAATATTGTTGAAAGCTTTATACCCGATCCAACATGGAAAAACTTCCAGAGGCCGAGTCGCGAGCCTGATTCCCTTGGTTTCGGTTTTCCCCGATTTGTTTCCCACGAAATGGTAAAGAAACGACACTTCGTCAAAGACAATACAATGTTCATTCGGGTAAAAGTCGATCCTAGTAAAATCGTGGCCGTTTGAGTGTAATGGTCCTCCAACCATCCTTCAACGCGTACTATAAAATTACTCGAATACCATCATTGTTCCACGTAACACACTTTGATATTGTTACACGTAAATATTTTGATGTGGTTGTTACGCATTTCTTATGTTACACGTAATGTCAGTCCAGTAAATAGTTCAAGATAATCGTATTTATTCACGTCGGTCGTGTACTCGGTGTGATAGTGCGGAGTACTTTACATACAGGGCACATGGTACTTACGTTGTATACCATAGGTAAGATTCATTCAGGGTATCTCTGAAAGTTTTAGAAGCATTCGTACAGTGACACCTCCAAATTTGCATACTGTATTCAAATTATGTCGTGTTTGGACTCATATTCACAGGGAAAACGTCATCAATGAATTCCAAATCCTACGCTTCCAAACATGTGTACATCACTGCCCCGAACTTGACTACAACTTTGGAGGTATTGCTGTAATTTCCTAGAAGATTTTTCATTGGGAACTGTACAACAGTGTTTATATCTTATTCCGAAATTTGTATAAATTTTTAATTACGTTGACCTTATTTCGAACTTTTATTTACATTATAAAATTAATATTTCTGTTACGGTTCCCAAATTACTCTCGTCGCTTGTTTCGAACGAATGAATTTCCGTTCCGTGCAGCGTACAATAAAAATATTTCCGTTTGCAGACTTAGCGTCACGTTAAAATTATAATCTTAAAAGTTTGGAAAGTTTACCAGGCGAGCAACGTTAAGCTCGCTGAAGGGGTTTACTTTTAAGAATTCAAATCAAAGATTATTAAAGGACTGTATACTATAAGCTAAGGGAATGTAAATATTGTGAAAAGGGGGGAGAGTCTACGGACGATTAGTTCACGCGACAGATCTACCAATGTAAATACGCATTTACTACACGTTAGTGATAATGAGAAATTGTGATTGAGATGCTAGTGACTGTATGTAATGATTTAAGAGTAAGAAGTAATAAAACTATTATATCATGTTTGTATATTATATATTATAAAACTGTGAATTTTTTAGCCTCCCAGATTATTTCCACTTGTGAGATTTAAATATTCCACAGAAATGCAATTTAATAACAAACAAATTTCACAAAAATATACATATATATTTACAGCTTTAAAAAATGTAACAATTTTCTTGAATTCATCACTTTTGTGAGCCTTCTGTATTTTGTGTCTGTACAGTCCTTCCCCTCTGGAAAAATAAAATTTATTTGTCACAAAGAAATAAAACTTGATAACAAATAGAATGAATTTATGCAAAATGTATCTACATTCTGAATCCTAAACATTTGATCTAAAGCATGTGGCAGCAGTGGCCGTACACTGTTAATTTCCATGGCAGTCAGGTGATCTAATTTTGCATGTAAACCTTCACTCTTTAAGAAAGCATCTATTGAAGTACGAAGCTTGGACATCCTTATGTCCCATATATCCTATAATTTACAATATAGATTAGTATTAACAAAATAATCACTTGATATCTCTTTTACCTTTATTGCTGTCCTTATTGCGTCAGCATCGGATATATCATCACTAGCATGGCTTAATAAAAGTTGTGCTTCATCCATATAATGATTGCTAGGCATTTTAGTAAACAGTCTACAAAAATACATTGTTCATTACGCAAAAAAGATATTTTTCAGTCAAACGAAAACAGGAAATTCTCACTTACTTTGACAATTTTTCGTCTTCTTTTACCTCGTTCAAAGTATTTTCATTCATCCATTCTTGGTTAATAATTCGACATTTCTGTTGCTGTTTCAGATTCACTGCCAGCCAGATTGGAACTTTGACAGGTAGACCAGCACGAAAAGGACCTATCGATCCCGATATCAAATGGATCGTATCGAAGCTAAAATTTGGTACGATTGAGACCAATTCCTTTTCACCAAGAAACTCCACTTCACTCGGATCCATGATCTTGTTATTGATCTTTATTTTAGGTCACTTTCACTGAAAAGAACTTCGGCATCTTACGCTCACGTCTGTTGCTGAAGCTGCACTAAGTTTTGGCGGGAAAATTGCTGTGTATTATGTTTGAAACGCTACCTGTTGTTCGGTAGGCTAACTTCAAATGTATACAAGGCGCAGGCGTGACGTAACAGCCAGTTATTGTAAGTTAAAACAGCGATTATTTCTTTTAAAATAACATAAAATGCATGATGAAAGAAACATCTAGGTTTGAAGAAGTAAGTTAAATAACTTTATATTAGGATTTTTAATTATGGATGACATTTTTGTGACATTTATTTTTCTTGACGTGTAATATACAGAATACGGAATGAATATTAATATACAAATAACCTTACGTAGCAACTTCTCAGAAGCTTTTAAAAATTCGAATATCCATCCACTCATATATCGTAATTTAAACAAAAAAGTGAACAGCAAAATGATTCAATCAAAATGTTCTAGTACCATTCTTTGATTCCTGTGTTACAATCAAACATAATTGGTATACCAAATCATTGCTACTCATCATGGATATGTTATTACAAATATATTACACAATTTTGTTGTCTATTTCTGATCGACAACGAATAAATTGGTTTAGGAATACATATTCAAGAAATACTATTACTCACTGTACATTTCTAACATTGAACATTAGCAACGAAAGTTAAAACATTGTAATCTCAACTCGTGTTCAGTCAGATATTCACAGTCTTAATTCAAGATATGGTGTAGTAAAATTACGCATAATAAGTTAACAAGACATAACATTAACAATATATAAAAACGCTGTCTCGACCGCATCGTAAATTAATTCGCTCGTGTTTTGCCATGAGTATTAGCACCAGGACTCGGAATATCGTACATCGAATGAACATTAACACCAAAAATACATCGCACCAACGTTCTGGAAATCTATCTATTTCGACCATGCATGAATTATTATCGATAATTTATTATCCATCTCGAAAGACAAAAAGGTTTATCAACCCTTATCCGTGCATTCCATCGATTCTTCGTCCATCATTTCACGAACGGAATCGACGCGATTCACGTCCACCTCGATCACAAAAATGGACGCCGGTGGTGTTTCCTCTAAATGATCGATTTCCGCCGGAAGTAGCGGCACCAGAGGCTTATACGTCTGAAGTTCCATTGATGACACACTAGAGGGTACTTTTGAATCGATTCGATTGTTCGCGTAACTGTCGCTCTCGCTACGATGATTCTCATTGCTGTTTTGACTCGCGTTGTCGTTATTGCAATCGTCCACTTCCTGTTTATCGCTCTGCGACGAGCTCGACGCGTTCGATGCCTCTTTTTCACGAATCGACACGTTCCTAGGCGTGGATGAGGGTTTCAATCTGACGTCAGTCACCTGTTTGCAAAACACACATCATTACTCTGTTGCACTAATCAACGCCTTCGATCAGATAAGATATATTTTCCAATAAACAATGGGAACATAAACGACTGCAGCTATGAGCGCTGATAACGGTTGGATTACTGGAGGGAAATTACTCTAGTTTAATGACACTGATATTTCACTCTTTGTCACCCAGATGGCATCAAGAGAATCGTTGGATCGATATAAAAAATTAGCACCCACAAATGCATGTAGCTGATTGTAAAATTTTTCGATTACCAAATGGAATTCGATATCTGACATCCTAACCTGGCGCAACAAGCTGGATCGTTGGCCCCTCGCAGTCGCCAACCCGCCCTGCCTGTTGAGCTGTCTCTGTGAACCAATCAACGATCCACGGTCGTGGATCACGCTGATAACGCTGGATTTCACGTCGCTGTGCGGGAACAGAAGCCTCCACATGAAGTTCTTCAACGCCGCACGGAAATCTTTCAGATGATAAGCGTAGAGCAACGGGTTACCGGCCGAGTTCAGGTGCGACAGGATAATGCAGAAGTTCATCAGGACGTCGTTCACCTTGCATCGGGGACAGAACGCCATCACGCAGTTGATGGTGTACAGGGGGAACCAACAGATGATGAAGAAGGCGACGATACGGGAGAGATTCTGCGTGGCTTTTACTTCCCGTTTTCGGGCGGCGCCTAGCAGACGCAGCATCGTGCCCGTGGTCTGATTCCCGTTTCGCCGACCGGGATTCATCGTCACTATTTGCTGTAACTGTTCGTGTATTATTATGCAACCCAACGGCCATAACCTATGATTCTTAACGAAGACAGTAGTATTAAGTTCTTTCGAAAATCATTTAAAGGAATCGCATTCAATCGTCCCGAAAATAAGCAAAGTACGATAAAATTCTACTTTATATTTGCCGACTTATTTTGTAGAATCGTAATCTCATCGAAATGTGACCTATATATTTCAGAGTCGTCTGTGGATCATCCTTCGCGTTACTGACACAGAAGAGCGAAAGACTAATTAATACGCGTCTTCAACCCTCGAAGCACAGAGTTTCCAGTAAGTTATGCGAAGACCATTACGATCATTAATTTCGCTTGGTGGATAATGGAAGATCGTCGGAATGAAAAAAGTTGGGTACGATAAAAATGAAGTTTGGGAGGTGGGGTGCAGATGTTAGTATCGGAGATCTTCAGATATTCGATCGATTCGAGGATGGGAGGTAAATTTGGCTGGATTACAAACACCACACGGAAGACAAGTTTTTTATTAATTCGTCGTCGTGTTTACGCGCTGCTCTGCTCCGTGTAACGGATACGGTAAAAGTGTGTCTGACCTGTTTTACGACCACTCGGTATATATGGGCGTAGAAGGCTGCGATTAATAGCGCCGGGAAGATGATCGTGGCGAAATAAAGGAACACCAGGTAATTGTAATCCATCACCTCGGTGAAGATGCATTTCTCGTTGGACTTCTTGCCTGCGTTCCAGCCGAAAAGCGGTAAGAAACCGACCAGAGTACCGGCTATCCAGCACACGCAAATTATACCTGCAATCAATCAAACGCCACCATTACTCCCGTTGATTGTTCACCTTGGATCGCTACAAGTAAATTGGCGATAACACCACCAGTCGTGGCTGAACTAAATATCGTCGTTCTAGATCTTAATTGTTCTATCTCCACTAGTTTCTAAACTGAGAAAAATTAGTTCAAAGTTTACGAAGTTCAATATTGTCGAAGCGGGAAAGTAGAGAAATAATCAAACACATTATAATATTATCTACTAAACAGCTATTCATCACAATGTTTAGCAAAATTTTATCTCATTGTCGACATACATTATTAATTATTGTTAGAATTTTGAGATACAACCATTAAGAAAAAAAACTTTCCAAGTTTCGGAGTTAGGACTTGAAAGAATATTTGTTGTTTTCTAGGTTGAATTTTTTTTATACTGTGGTGAATTAGTATTCTTTGGACCAATGAGACGTAGACTGATTAACTAAATATTTTTGAAAAATGGAGTTAGAACAGTTAAGAAACTTTCGGTCGAATAGAATAAATTCAATAATAAATTAACGTACACTCCGGGCATTCTAAGTTAATAGGAGGCACACGTGGAACATTATCGATTGACGGGGGCTGGGTAATAAACGTGCCTTTTTCGCTCAGCTGTCGAGATGGTATCAGTCAGCGAGGGTCGTAATTAAAATCACTCGTGCCATAAACAGGCGAAACGCTTGAATTAATCACGGCCGTTCCAGCGAACGAGAAATGAACGTCTAACCGGGTCGTTAATTTTTTGTTTTGTTTTACGAACCGTCTTCGATTTGTAATAAGGGATAACACGCTGTCACTAAAAAAGAAACACGTCGTTATTCTCTGGTTTTTGCATCGAAAAACAAATTCAACGACATTTGTGTTACGTCTGTCGTCGTTAACCGTTATGTTCTTAGCACATCCCTTCGAGTCGGTCCCGTCGAACGGACAACATACAAACAGATAAATTCACGACCAGTTTATAGTTGGAATTCTTTTTAGTTCACGAATACGCGGCATGGTGTGGCGTGATGGTACGATTTTCCATGAATAAGATAAGGATCGAAAGGAGGGAAAGTCCTTTGGGAAATCGAACTGATGGAATTCGGCGGATGCGTTTCGTATGTCCTGATATTTTCTAAATTCCTTCGATAATTATACCACTTTCTGATAATATTATTGTTAATAATTATTCGGTAATTCTATGTCCAACGTTGTTAAAGGTCTTGGAGAGGAAAAGGTGTTTCGCGGGACAGTGAAAGCGTAGAACGAAATGGAACGCAAGTAGTAGAAGTCGATCATTGAGCGGGCGTGCCGGCTGAAAGTTCAAAGCAACGTGCGACGTATGGAACCACGGCTGTTGTCGCGGATCGTTACGCAATCTCCGACCGGGCCAATTGAAAACGGTTTTCCCAGAAACATTTTGCTCGTAACCGTTTAATTAAGCGACGGTAAAGCAATATCTACGCGCAATTATAATTTACGGAATTGTTTGCTCGTATGTGTATACCAGGTTACGAATGTTCTCCATCGAAATCAGCGTGTTTCGCGTTTCATTGTGTTTAAGTAGCAACTGGAGCACACGTCGAAGAACTTGAATAGGGTAAATCGTTTATGCACAGAAGTCCTTTCAATCATTTTCAATACCTTTCGAATATTATAAAGCCCAGATGGTGTATTATTGGAAATTACGTCTGTTCGAACAATAAGTGTACGGCGGTAATGAATGTACACGACGACCTAGAATATATACAAGCTCTGGCCACACCTGATTAGACAACATTGTTGAGGATCCGTTCTCTCGAGCACGCCATTGTTTCCGGCTGTAGCGTGTTATCGAGCGTGCACGTCTTATGAGTAATCGACAAAGAAGACGTCTCAGCATCGTGAACAACGAGACGGTAATTATGAATGAAACCGAATCGACACAGAGACGGTGGAATACACCACTTAAGGTGGCAACAGGTGGCGCGCCTGCTCTCGTTGAATACAAGATATTCTGGGTCGTCTTCGATTAAATCAACCAGCAGTACAAGATCATCGATACTCTCTGGAAGATCTCATTTGTTTCTTTTCAAGTATACTTCTGGCCCCATAAAGAAACAACAAACCAAAAAGAATCATCGATTCCTCCGACGGAAATAACCACCTGGAGCGACGTAACAGATTATTCTTATCCATCGGCGTCGACGTTCCAACAAGAATATTGAGCTTACTTCCGACAATGTCCAAGACGACAATGGGACTCTACATAAAAATGAAGGTGACCTTGATATCTCTAAAAAGAATGACATAAAAACAAAAATTGTTTGGTATCGTATGAGAAGTATCCATTGAACCATTCAACTTTGTCCTCAAGACATTTAACGTATCTTTAAAAACAACAACGATATTTGAGGTGCAAACGTTAGACGACTCATCCCGTATATCATGTCACCGGATATCTTTCACGTCGCCCCTGTCGGCGTCGTTCATTTTATGCCCCCTTACCTATGGCAGTTTTCGTGCGTACGGTGCGCGAGTATCCCATGGGATGCAGTATCGCCCAGTAACGATCCACGGACACCGCGACCAGACAGAAGATGCTGATCGTGCAGAGTACGATCAGCAACGAGACGGTGAACAGGCAGGCGTGAAGATTCGTCGGCAGGCCGATGCTCGCGAGGATCGCGAACGGTATGGCGAACAGGCCGACCAGGAGATCGGCGGTGGCCAACGATATTATGTAGTAATTCGTACGTCGACGTAGCTTTCGTTCTTTGCTGAAGACGATGATCACCAGACCGTTACCGAACACCGCGCACACGGCCACCAGGATCTCGCAGACCGTGTACAGTAGATTCAGCTCCGAGTTCTCGTTGGTGGTCACAGCGGTCACTGTTAAGTTATCGGCCGATTCGGTGGCATTCACGGGAAATTCCATCACGACACACGATTACGATATATAAGCCCTCTCGTCTCGTCTTTCTTTCATATATTGTTCGTTAATCGATCAACACGGAAGGTCCTTGCACGAGGAGGACCTTAAGGTAGCTTTGGTCCGATGACCTCGCGTATCACTCGGCGAACGAACGTTCGCCGTGATAAAATGGTAATTTCCATTGTCCTTGTTAGTAATCGATTGTCATTCGTCTTCTCCGGAATGATTGGACCACCCCTCCTTGTAGCCAGATGTCGCGTGACGAACGCTTTTTTTTTCTCTCCCCCTGTTCCGGTCGTTTTTAATGGATCCCTTTAATTCCGCCGTACGGCATGACGCTACAGACGGAACGTCACGCGAGCACACGATGCCACACGATTTTAAATAGATCCGGTTTACGGCTCAATATCGGTTCTGGCGCGATCCATACGAAACTTCCGAGGGTGGCCGATCTCTAGGAGCAACGATTATTAGTCGTGACACGCGTTGGCGATCGATCCTCCCTTTAAAGGATGGGCCAAGCTCAGCTTGCCGGCGAAACGAGGCACAGGGAAACGGATCCGTTGCTTATTGGTATGGACGCCGATGTTTGGTCTACATTCAACGTCACTGAATCCCCGACACAGTTCGTCAAATCGATCCGTTGGAAATGATAGATCGACGAAGTTCACAAGATTCGACCTTAAAAGCTACCCTTCAATTTTCGCCAGATTTGCTGCACTATCGAAGAACGATAACAGTATTCGCAACCGATAAAACACCACGAACTATCGATCTTAATTATAGATCAGACATTTATCAACACTTGTTCTTCACAGGTATCCATTGATCGTCTCTATACTGTCCAAGTAACAAGAGCAACCACGTCGATAGTCTTCCCACTGCGGGACCAACGGTCCAAAGGCATACACGTCTTTCCACTTCACCAAAGAACGATCAAATTCTCTCCGTAACCTGGTCTGAATGGCGAGGAACGGCCGTCAATCATCAATCCTCTCGAAGTCGTCTACGCTCGCGAAACGTGCGCCAGGAAGTCTCGCGGAAGGTCAGCTTTTGTCGGTGAGGGCCCATTCAGCGTCCGTTACGTTCTCCCGTAAATACAATGAGCCTCGTTGAATGACACCAGGCGGCGTCTTTTCAACCGCTTCGGGACACGGTCCGCGCAATCTGCCGTGGATCTTCGTCTACAATGGGACACGGGGATCGTACGTTGGATACAGCACGAGTGGAAACGACGGTTCGCGGCTCGCCGCGTTCATTGTGTCGGCGTTGTTTCGAGTCCGACCACGTTTCGGCCAGCAACGGTGCGGGGTTGCGTTGCGGCTTGTTACGCGGTTCCACGAGCCGCTTCCAGCGCATGTTCGTCGGCCAGGTGGATCCAGCGTATGCGTGCTTCTGGCCCAGGTTTCGAAGGTTATTAAGGTCACGGACCAGCAGACACCTTTACGATAATCACCCTAGAACTCAAGATCGAAGAAGTCGAGCAATCGTTTCACTTGTTGGATTCTTCATTATTCCCATTCTTTAAAGAAGGTATAATCTTAGTCTCTGTAAAATCTTCGCTTTCTGCGACGACGTAGAAAATGGACACCAACGGTTTCAATAATTTCATGGAAGTTCTTTAATCTTTTAGATCATTTTTCTACTGGAAACTGATAGGAAGAGTAACTCGGAGCTTTCTGATCGATTCTAAATGATTTCCCTGGAACAAAATTAACCGCAGTTCGCGACACTTTTTCAACAGTCCTTAAGGTACAAAGGGTTTGAACAGGTAGCGAAATTAATCTTCTGTCCGAGATCCCTTTTATTTGGCCCAGTTTCTTTTTTTGTTACTTCGATTTTGATCTTCCTCGAATACTACAGAAAAGTCCCCACTGACCCTTGGATCGTCAAGGTTTCCTTTTCGCCGTCAAAACTGATCAGACTCGAAGTAACTTCTGTCCTTTGATCTTTGATCCTCGGGACCTCCTTCGCGGTGCATTAAAATTCATAGCTTCTCGAGCTACGAATATAGTCTCTGTCTCTCTCTTTCTCTTCCCAATATGTTTTCATTCATACAGTTTTTCAGGCTGCGTCGTCGTTTAAACAGTTGCTCCGCGGCTTAACGGATTAAAGTTTCGATTTAACCGCGGCCTCGCGTAAAGCACGATGCTCACTAACGAGGGGAGTGACAGGCCGTCGATCGTGTCTCGATCGCGGTTATTTCGTGACGCAATTGAGAAGTTCCAGGCCTGTTCCGCGACCGAATACTCGAACCGGCTGACAGGAGGAAGATTAGCGAAGTGGCTCGCGTATAATGCTGGAACTTCGATCGAGAAGTTCTCCGAGTGATTCCGCTTGAAATACTTTGTCGACGAGGTAACGATCATCAGCGACTTTGCGCATCTACAATGCATGCGAACGGGCACAACAGAACGAAGCGATGACATTAACATCGACTCAAAATCGGATGGGACACCCTGTATATCGTTTAACGACCCTCTTCGCTGGTACAATAAACGTTCTCTCGATTCTGGTCTCTACAAGACAGTCTACAATAATGTGAACTCGCGTAAACATTCGCGGTTAACGTTTATCTGTCCGTTCGAGAATGGGAGCTGGATGCGATTGTATCGAGATCCACCGTAAGGTCAGCCGCTTTGAAAGTTGAAGCCAGAAGATATAAAAGTGTTCGTAAATAATTGCGTTTTAATATCACGCACACTTTGGTGTACTCTATTCTAGGCTTCTGCGTCCATCTTTATTTATAGAGATTTCGCGTATCGCGTCCTGCGTATAATTATAACCGTCTCGCGATATCTTCGCCATAAGTGCATTGATGTTCGTGGACCTCTTTGTCGTTTGTTATGTACGGTAAGAAAAAGAATTTCAATTTCAAAGATTCTCAAATCGATCTCGGATACCGATCGAACATTTTCTCCGGTGACTGATAAGCGTCACGCGAAATTCCTCCCGAGCCAATCAACGTCAATCAACGGCGCGCTGTCTCGCGACTTTACGAACGGTCCACACGGCTCGATCGACGATCAAGATGTTGAACCTTTTTCTGTCGCCACCACGTACGAAAAATCGCGAATTAAACGGCAATTCTCCCAGGTGTGTGCACCGTGGACAGAAACGCGTCCGACTTCTCAACCCCGTGGCGCGAAACTGAGTTCCTCCTCGTGACAACACGGGAGGACACCGCGACGGCGGAGGTGGAGTGGAGGAGGCGGTGATAAGTTATGGCGGTGGTGGTGAACTTCCACGGAATTCTATCACCGCGATTTTGGAATTTCACATTCTGAATTTTTACAGAATACTTCAAAGTGTCCGATTGTATAGGAATATGTAATTGGGAATATTAGGGGTACCCATAAGTAATCAATTATTTTGCATTCATAGAGAAAATTTTTTTTTTTAAATAACACTTATTTTTTAATCGATTATATAATCACCGTCATGAGGAATAAGGTCTTGGGAAAATAATTCATTTCTTATGGGTACCCCCAATATATGTGATTACGTAGTATTCTTGCCCTTGTCAGTTCTCCAGTCCACCATTTTTCCATCGACTTCTCTTGGTACTCGAGTTACTCGTCGAAGTACCGGATGATTTGTTGTTGGCGGTACAACGGAAAAATCAAATCGAGGCTGTGTTGGATACATATTATTGCTTGTGTGTTTTAAAAATAATGAACTTTGAATGTTGTTTGTTAGAAAACGTAAAAACAGAAATTGATAGACACACCAGCTGAACAGTATTTAGTAACCTGTATACTTTTCTAACTATCTAATAATTCTTCTTTTATTCCCAAATGATGGAACTTCCCATAGAATTTTTTAATAGCGATCTTCAGATGGTTCTCCTTAAATTAACCCTCAAGTAGGTCGCGGGGTCTGACAGACCCCAGGTGATCGTAGAATGTTTATTGTGTATACCTGTTCGGGTAAAGCGAAGGTGTCAGGACCGTGGGGGGAGAAGAAAGTTAAGGACTGTAGTTATGTTCTCTACTATTACGCCGCGTCAATCCGTTTTTGGTTACCGAGTTGTTAACATCGAAAGTGCGAGTAGAGGTCTGACAGACCCAGCGAGATACAAGTGTCGGTAAATCTGAGTAAAACTAAATTCGGGTAAATGTTATTTAAAGTTCTTTTTTGTGCTGTGAAATTACTGTGGAGTGTGAAGTATGCAAAAAATATTACTTTGCGTGTTTCTTTTTTAGAAAACGCGTCATAGGAAAGAGTATATATTTTTGGAGTGACGTGATATTTAATTGTCCCTTTTATAAATGAGATACAATTTTAAAAACAAATTCATTTCCCACGAAAATTCACAATTTCTTCTTCACATTTTTACACGTATATTTGTTGCAAAAATACTTACAATAATCCAACCTGAACAGTTTTACTCTTAGATTTTCGACGAATCAAATAAAAAGAAAGGCACATCAAGCGTTGCCAGTACAGCCCAAAATGAAAACCGTTGAAAATGATAGGGTCTTTCAGACCTTACTCGAGAGCATAAGAAAAATATGCGATGGTGAGGGTTAAAACGTTCTTTGTGGATCGCACTACGTGACGTTTCCGACGATTCAGTAATATTCAGACCCCCATCCAATTATTCTAATTGTTTCGTGCGTTTAACCAACGCGTACCATCGAGCATCACACACGTGTAACCCACTGATTGTCGTGAAAGCCCAACGTCACACTCGTGTGACGTACAAGCCTGCTGAAAACAAAACACTAGTTATAACTGTCAATTGTCCAAAGTAGCGTGTCTGTTAATAATTGACTCATCGCTTAAAACAATAATTGAAATGAAAGTAACAACCACAGTGGTCACGACTGAATGACATTTATGTTACAATTAATTCGGTTGGAAAACAACAAACAACTGTTCGTACTCCCGTGTGAACGCCCTAGGAGACTCGTAATTGGATAAAACATACCCCAGCCGAGGACTCGATACATACCACAGTTCGACGGAAGTCTCGGTTCGTGAAACGCGCGTCACGTGCCCGCGCGTGAAATGCTCGTACGTGAAGTTCATTCCTTCAGGGAATAACTAGCACAAAATTGGCTTAGAGTCCTTCTGCCCCGGCGAAATTAAGAGTTCCTTTTCTGTCGGAATAACTTCCGGCGACAGAGACAACTTTCGAGATTCCCTTGACCCAAGTTTTTTTTTCCACCAATTCCCACCAATTTCAAGTTTCTCGATTCGTTTCCATTCATTATCGATCTTTTTCGCCCGTGCACGTCAAACGTAGGACGGTTCGAATTACTTTCGGTAACCAGAATAGTTCTCGACAAGTGGCGCCACCGTGACCGTTACGAATTACGAGCAGCAATAGGGCCCATACCCTTCGAAACAACGGTCAGTTGTTTGAACTGAATTTAAACATGTTCGAATAGTTTGGTTGTCCATCGCGAATTATGAGTTCAAGATTTATGTCGCTCGATTAGAATAAAATTCTCGTGGAGATCACTTTTACATATTTCGTTACAAGAAACTCGGACCAGAGATCGTGAACGAATCGGAACGCCATATAGGTCATCAAAGATCAGGATCTTCATTTTTTTCGAGAGTTATTTATATCGAACGAAATGATACCGGAAGCTCTATCGTTGCTCACAGTCGAACAGGCATTTAGAGACGCTGTCAATAACTGTATATTTTTTCAGTAAGGAAATTTTAATTAAATCCGTTCTTTCTGTCGTCTTTGTAAATTAAAGTGTGATCTGCGGGGACGACGCCATTGACGGTTCTAGATCGATGAAATCATCGAAATAGATGAGCCGTATCGTCTCGTAAACAAGCAGGTATTTGTTATTCCGTTCGACGTTAGACTGGATCGGATTACTGCCAAGGCCAACCAGACAAATGGCTCCGCGCGCATTTTTCGTACTCCGTTTCACGGAAGCTGGAGATATCCTTCCTCCACGTTCGTCGTAATGTTTAGAGGTGAAATATCATGGTTTTAAATTATATCTGTTATTTATTATCGTTCCTTCGACAATTTTTATTCCGACGTTACGTGTTATTCAATATACCGGCTGATCGAAACGGCGACACGAGAAATTCACACGATTCAATGAGATTATCGATGTATTTTAATTGCCCGGCCAGCCTCGAGAGCATGTCTTCGACCCTTCTCTGTTATTACATTGTTCTAATAGATGGCAATTACGTAATTAGACCGATACGCGACGAAAGCCACTGGCTTCCATGAATTCCACAGTCGCGGGTTAAGAAGCCGTGGATTAGAGCTGAGTGGTACATATGGATCTGAATCAAATTTTCATCAATTGTTATACGTCTTGGTGTTATAGGTCTTGAGTCGCACATTCACACTTCCAATGTATGCTTACGTATAATCTCCTATATGTTTCAGACTATAGTCAACAATATTTGCAATTAGACCGAAGGCAAAAGTATTATCCAGATAAAACTAGGACTTACAAAAGGAATAGTTAGAAGAGGTATCAAGGTTACCCCAAAGTCAGCTACATCGATTTTATATCCTAATTTTTTTTTATAGAAAATCTTTGGACAAGGAAAAGTGGTCGACCGTCAATAATTAATAGACTACGAATTTTATCCACTTGTCGTAAAATTCGAGTGTCGAAAACACAATCGCAGTAAAAATTTCCGAGTTCCATTAATTGGTCTATAAAAGTCTGAATTTGCATAAGGAACCGCGGTCGCGTGATGGTGAACCACTTCTGTTGAAAATTTATCCTGCCATTTGATCCCTGTAGGTATCCCGTGAGCCCTCGCGGTGATAGCAGCTCTCTTCGTGGCGGTTGATTTTAAGCGATGCATGTCCACTGGCTTAAAGAGCACCTCCTTTAACGGAGGAGGTCTTAACGAACGGTGAACGGGTCCATTCGAGGTGACTCGGAACGTGCGTATTGTTCGTAACAGGCGTACAACAGGTCGTTTCACGGCGCATAAAGGGATCTGTAATCGCGTCGCAGAGCTGAATGGAGTCGAGCCTCCGGGCGAGAATGCGAGCTGCACGGATCTAAATTGAAAACAGGTCATGTTCGTGTCACATGGGACACGCAAACACGCCCGTCGCGCTAAATATCTAATGGTTTAATACGACTAATGCGATTGGACGTGGACGTAGAAAATGGGGGCGGGGGGTAGTAGTATAGCCAACCCACTTCTTGATCAGGTAAAAAGTTTATAAAAAGAATTAACTTCATTCCCTTTCTCATCTCTCTGTTTCTCTGTTTTAAATTAAAACTATTCCTTTCCGTCGTCAGATAGTGCTCAGGAGTTCGTGCGCTATTGTGGAGATATTAATATTTAAAAAATTAAACACGTTATGTACAGTTACAGCGTAATTATGAGTTAGCCAGCAACCGTGCTACAAGCAGTGTGTTGTAGTACACTTCATTATGATTGCGTTTACGAGTTACAGTTAACCCAGCGTGATATTTATCTGTGGCCTCTGCCTGGGGAAACATAAAAAAAAACTGTGGAGTACGGCGACGGGCAGCGGGATCCAATTAAAAAGGAACTCTTTACGCGGGGCGTGTATACGACGAGCAGCAGGTGGATTTACTTTTATTAAACACGATGTACACTGCTGCTCGACGATATTTACACGGTTACAATGTTCGTAGTTTTTAAGAGGAAATAAAATAAGATGGAACTTAGCTTATTATTTTATAAGTGTAAGTCGATATATGGAACGAGAGGAAATTGTGATCCATAATACCTTTTCTCCTTCTTTCGCAGTTTCTTTGAGCATGAAGCGTTCACGGTTTCAGTCCAATATCAATTTCCTCACAATATCGATGTTAACGAACCGCCGCCCGCGTCGTACTTACGCGAAGTTGTCGCTGTACTGTAGAATTGATAGAAATGATCAGCTTCTCGTATGTGATACTGATTAAATAATAACCACTACAATTATTCTCTACCTCGAACGTATCTTCTACTCTTTACAATATTGCATGAAGTATAATAAGTCATTATAGCGGTATGTTTATTCACATTAAATAGTGAAACTCGCGCCTTAAATTATGCACTCTGCTGTAGCACTGCGAATAAGAATCATTAACAAGTTGCATATTAACAGGGGTAACTTCTAGATTCACCCACAATCTTTGGATGTTTATAGGAATTCGGGTTACTAATACTATTTAATAAGTACTAAGTTCTGTATTAAATTATTTTATCACAACCATATTTATTTAAATACTTCAAAAATTACAATTTGCATAAACATTCACTTTCCGAGCAAGGTTACAAACTTAAGATACCGTATCCTAAGTCTGTGGTAACATGGAATACCGTACAATGATACGTGTCAATTCTTAAATGTAATTGACTTGTTCTTAATTTATTGAGAACGACGTTGCATTATGTCTTGTTGAACTCCTCCTCCACGTAATCCAGGGCTCCAACGTCGCGCGTATTATTACATATACAAACCATATACAAAAAATAAATCCGAGAAAAGCGAAGCAACCATAACTGTAAAACGAGATTGACGTTATACGGTTGGTATTTCATAACAAAAATAATGGTGTCATTATGGAAGCTCTCCTACTTTATAACCCAAGCAATAAACATTCCTAATGCTAAGCTTAAGAGAAGTCCATAATCAGCCAGTGGTCGTAGACTCAATCGGGGTGGAATGCGTTCTTCGTAGCCATTGGAAAACCCATTCGACGTTCGTTTTGGTAACTTCACAACTTTCGTGGGTGGTTGTAAAATTTGTCGGCAAACGCTGCCCACGAAGCCCCGTTGATTATACATGGTACTTATCTTGTGTCGGTACTGTCGGAAATATGCAATTTTATACAAAATTTCGTCTAGCCTTTTATTAGAGAACATATTCAAACCGAATGGTTTACCTTCTGGTTTATATAAGTGCAGAGTTTGTACAAAATTCTAACAAGAAAAGCACACTCGTTGTATCTCACTGGTTGCAATTCCGGATCTCCCATGTATTCAATGTACTGACATGTTTGCCTGTCTTTTTGTATTGGTACAAAAACACCTGGCTTACTAGTGTCTAAACTAGAATCCATCTAAAAATTGAACCCATTAAGGCTCTTTTAATTAATAAAACTTTTCGAAGACTGAATTAATTTACTACCTGTGACTGATGACAAAAGGACGTAGATAGAATACTGTCGTGATATTCTTGATCGGCTTCAATTGCTACTTGAGGAATATCTTCTACATTGATCTGTAGACATATTTAAAGTGTACCAATATTTTGTATGGAACACAGGCTCATCTTTATCGTATTACTATTTACCTCAAAGATTTCAATCAACTGTTGCTGCGCATTTGCCAAGTATACAGGAACTCGTCGTCGCTCGTCTATACTAATATCATCCGAGGAGTAATCTTCACCATTAAAGAATTCCCATATTGTTAAGAAAAGTTTTCTGTTTTGTCTCTTCTTTTCTAATGCATCGATTAAACTAGTCGCTGTTAAATGTGCTTGCTTAATAGTACTTAACAGGCACACGACCTAAAATTACAGTTCCGAAAGAAGTAAACGAAAACAGCTGGAATTAAATGTTTCACATACCTGTGAAACGGTGGCCATTGAAAACATTGGAACGTATTGGTATGTCGGTCCTTCCAGATCTAAAATCTGTTGTCTTACGTTCGAGACCCACTGATTTGTAGATACTCGACTTCTACTCAATCCTACGTCGTCCATATGACTCTCTACTTCGCATATCATTTTCGCCAGATGTGGTTGTGAAAATACCTACGATATCGAGATCCTAAATAAATAGTATCAATTTACACTTCAATCATCGAAGTCACATAGATTACATACTTTTGTAACTCTGAATAGCATCAAAGCATTTTTTGGAGCTACAAGATCTGTTCTCATAAAACGTGGTAATAATTGCTGAAATATTGCTGTATAAGCTAACAAATTATTTGCAACAAAATGCATCCATCTGAATACATCATGTATCTTTCCTCTTTCTTCTTCCTCTGATTTACTACGAGCAAAAGAAATTTTTTAACAAATACCATGACTAATATATTCAATACATCGCGTACTCACCCTTCCTTGGTATACGATATACCAGGGAAATACCTCCATGGTTGAATGAAGCTTAACCATGCCTCAAGGATTAATCTAAATGAACTATCTAAGGGCCAGTGGTGTATAGCTTTCCGAAGGAATGTATAGATCTTCCCTTGCACAGAAGGCAAAATTATTCTGAAAATACTCCTACTTAGTCAATCTTCATTATTATAGAGCATATATTATGGAACGTTCGTGATTACCGTTTGAGCTCATCCATCGCACTCTTATCACCTGTGGCACTGTTCGCAAATTCATGCAAAGTCTTTATAAATGCTCGTACAAGGCGTATGTGTTCCCCAGAATGGATACTATGCTATAGTTCAATTGAAATATGAATGTACACAGTTAATAAAAAATGTTTTACACAATGGACTTACTCTTCGCGGAACAGATGCAGAATAGGACGTGCCTAATCTTGTATTTAACTGATCTTCTTCTGTGTATTCCAACCAAAAGTCTAGAAAAACTTGAACTACAGTCTCACTTCTCCAAACTTGGGGCAGACATTGCTGTTGGGGAACTGCTGAAGCGGAATTTGGAGATCCAGGCGATAATATGGATGTTCTGAGAAGTCGCGGTGTTTGCAGCCTGTAATAATCTCTTATTAAAACCATTAAACTTATTGTATGTCTAACAGTGCAATTTTGTTCGTGTCAGTATACCTTTTAGTTTCAGGTGACTGTACCAGCTTCCTTTGGGGTGTTTTTCTTATGTACGGGCCAATAATTGGCAAAACTGGGGAATTGTCTCTAGGTAAAAAATGATACAAGTAACAGTGAGCTAATTGGACGTAAACGGTCTCCCAATTGATCCACACATTTTCCTGTTGCTGCACTTGCAGCCATGGGTTTGTCAAATGGTAAGCAAAATGTATGATGTAATATTCAAAGGGATCTACAAAAAAGTTAAGGGCAAAGTCCAAATTTTGATGAATGTACAGAATTAGAATCACTCAAAAGGATACTCATATTTAAGACAGACACAGCACGTGTTCCCTGATCATCCCTAATTTTGTCAAGATAAAATGGTGGTATCACACCTTCTTCCAACATAGAACGTATTTTCACCTAATGTAAGAAAAGAAGTATGTGTAACATTTCTATCCATAACTTTCACGAACATCAAGTACTTACTGGTAGATATGACACTGGAAAATTATATTTCACATAACAGTCTGGTAGTAATTTATAGCATAAAAAGAAAACTGGTCCCTGTGGATTAAGGAAGTTGCACAATATCTCATACTCTAATGGGTTCTTCTTAAAAGTAATACTGTGTAAACCCCAGCCAACATTGTCTGTTATTCCAAACAATGAGTCTATCAATATCGGGAACACATGTTGCAATTCTGTTGTACTGGATTCATCTATTAATGCTGCTATTTCTTTACATCGTTGTACCAATGGCATGTTCAGGTATCTCTGCACTTTGATCTACATGTGTAATATATAGAAGTAATGAAATGAAACTGATTTATTGAAAAAACTTGAAATTATTTAACATTACATAAACCTTTGACACAAAGTAATACTTCATATATGCACATAAACATAATTTATTAATAATATATATAAAAATAAATAACAAGCGTTTTCATTAAAAAATTAAAAGAATTCTTTAAAAATTTTATTAAAATTATTCCATATTAAACAAAAAATATTGAAGTATGACTTAATTAATTAAACACATGCTCAAAAATTTTTGAACAGCTGTGTATATTCTATTGTTATAATTTTGTTTACAGTACAAAATACAATCTTATGAATATACGTGATATTTTCAACATAAACAATGCAATATATATATATTGATTTACACATTGCTTTATTTACAAATAATAATATACTATGTAAAGTACAATAACTGTAAGCAATCGATCGTATAATTTTATTTAAAAAAGACACTTTTGAATCGCCTTTTCAATCAGCCGGTTAATATGTTAGGTTATTTGGAGGTTGTATTGAGACAATTCGCAAATCGATTCTATTAGTGTAAAAAAAAAAAACGTGAGCTGTACCGTAGCAACGTCTGTAGATGCAGCCATAATTGTGTTTATTCAGTTTTATACGAAATGTAAAAAATAACATTTAAACGTTTTCTCGTCAATTGCGACTCATTCATGCCATGCACACCATCTTAGTAATTATGGAAATTATTTGAAATAAGCCATAGAAATATATGTATAATAGACTGCGTGGTCTTATGGTAGGGGTGAAGTCGGCCCTAGAAAGAGAGAACAGTAACTGGAGTAACTTTCCTTTCTTTCTAATGGGGCTGCGACTAGAGATGGCGTGAACTGCTACTTGTGAATCACTCGTGATTCGATCACGTTCGTTCCCAATCACGATGACTTTTCACAGGGATTCGTGATTTCCCGTGATCGTTTCTTATTGGTGGAGAAACCTAACAGTTCTTTACACTCGATACATAATTTGTATATTTCACATTAACGACATCAAAACAAAAATTAGGGTTATATCGTATAAAGTGAAGGAATAAGTAGAAACAATGAAGAATAATGAATAAATTAATGATTACAAATTATAATCTACATGTTACCTAGCAAATCATTTTTTTAGAATTTCTTGTTTTTTCTACTGATGTTTACAAACCCGAATAGTAATGTAATTATCGTAAAATCATATTGAATACGTTTTTCTGTTTAAAGATCAAGGACTTACGATCGCAGTGAGCAAATTCACCCAAGATAGAAAAATCGCAATCACGGTCGTGAATGAAGTTAAATCACGACCGTGATCGTGATTCGGCGATCAATGTGATAAATCACCGTTAGTGATTTTGCACGCCATCTCTACATATACATATATACATATAAATTATAATGATATAAAAGTTTGAAATAGAATACAATGAGCTACGGTACAATACGTCTATTCGATTCAATTGCTCCCTTGCGACTACAACATCATGCTATTCGCGTTCGGCGCAGTGTGCTAATACGGAGGTCAACAAAATATCACTGTAACACTTAAAAAACTTTTAAAGTTCCATTTATATCATTGTCCTGTGAAAATCTTCATACTTCCAGCAGCATTCAAATTCCAATCAAAGAATTTACAGAACAAGGAAAAGGAATCTAAAGTAATTTTCAGTAGTTCCATACATCTTTATCTCGAATAATTTTGTAAAACATTCAAAGTACTAGACATTTTTACACTTTGAATCTCATACCGATTTCTAAAATAATCCTA